AAGACCCGTTATAAAGAGTGTTGAAATCGAGGATGGTCCAGGGGAACAAACAGGTGAGAATCCCTCACTACAGCTCAGTCAAATAGATCTTCCCAACATACAGCTAAGATTTGAATATCTGAACACACGATTTTCCAGCTACATTTACTAGTGATTGTCCCAGCTGAAGACCCGTTATAAAGAGTGTTGAAATCGAGGATGGTCCAGGGGAACAAACAGGTGAATAACATGATTGTCTACAGATTAACCATCCCAGCAAGTGTTGAAATTTATTTTGGGTACCCTGATAGTCTGAGTAGTGAGATACTGTATGCACTATCGGGCTAGTCCCATTTGCTATAGGCCATACACCTTGTATAGAGAATAAATCTTTTTTGGCAGGGAACAATGACTGGGTAATGACCGGGTAATGGCCGGGTAACGGTGGATAATGGCCGGGTAACGGTGGGTAATGGCCGGGTAATGGTGGGTAATGGCCGGGTAATGACTGGGTAATGACATATACTATTGAATAAAATATATCTGAGTACAAATACATATATTATATAGCTATTACCCAGCATTACCCAGCATTACCCAGCATTACCCAGCATTATCCAGCATTACCCAGCATTATCCAGCATTACCCAGTCATTATCCATTAAAAGAGGCTGATTTGTTGAACTGCCCCATAGGGCGATGATCCCATGCGCCCCTACATTACAAGGATTGAAGAAACCGCCCCACAGGAGAAGAAACGTCTCCAGAGAAGAAACGCCTCCAAGATAACAATCTCTGAGAGGGCGGATCTGCTCCTCAGAGCCCAACCGCCCCCAGGGGCGGAACTGCCCTAGGGGGCGGAATCGCCCCTAGAACAGGCGCGCCCTAAGATACAAATGACATGAGGGCGGACTGAGATGCTACATGTCTCAATGGGTAATAGAAGAGAGACTGATCCGCCCCCCAGGGCGCATCCGCCCCTGGGGGCGGAATGACCTGCCCTTGCCTTGAGTGGGTAATGCTTGGGTAATGGCCGGGTAATGCATGGGTAATGGATATTATATTGCTTATAGAGTATATACATATAGTATACTGGATAGTCTCACTACTAGCTATATGAATATATGTTATTACCCACTCATTACCCATTACCCAGCCATTACCCAGCATTACCCAGCATTAAGAGGCCATTACCCGGCATTACCCGGCATTACCCAGCATTAAGGCTGGGTAATCGGTGAGCCTAGCTAGGCTCACCAGGATTATGATGTTAGGCGTTGAAGGGCGCTTCAGCGAGGTGCGCAGAGCGACCTCAGGCTCAACTACATATGCACATTAATTAATACAGGGTCACACCATATATATCACAAAATTCTTACCTAGGGCAGAGCCCAGCATAGCATAGGCGGAGCCTGATGCCTGCCTGGCAAAAGGTGACCCCAGAGGCGAGAGCATAGTTACATTGCTAGCCTGAGGGGCGGATGCAGCAGGCGAGAGCTCCCTAGGTGTAAACAAGGGACTAGTAGCGCCCTCTTGCAACTGCATGCCCTGAGATGCCATCTGCTCCATAGATGCCAATGAGAAGTTGCCTGCAACAACTGGAGCACCACCAAGAGCAGAAGCGCCCCCAGGGGCAGAAGCGCCCCCAGGGGCAGAAGCGCCCCCAGGGGCAGAAGAGAGCTTCATGACACCTGCACTCAAAGAAACAGGGGCGGAGACACCTGAGAGACCCAGTGCAGGTACAGCAGAGCTAGAGGAAGCTAGGGCAGGAGCAAGAGCTAGGGTAGACGTGCTTGTAGAGGTTGCAGTCTGGGGCATGTTGAGTGCACGCCTTCTTTGGACATGTTCCTCATAGGTGCCTGCAGCAGCTAAGCGCGCCTTCATTGCCCTGTGGTCTGCAGGGGTACTGCGGTCAGTCACAGGCGATAGGCTGCCTGGGGACGTGGAGGGTGCGCGTGAGGATGCGTGCGAGGGTGCAGTAGACATGATAGACAAAAGCAGAGGTAAATGTTCAGAAATAATGAGGTTGGGGTGAGGAAAATACCCAAAATAATTGAGGGAGAGGTCTCTTATATAGACAACCCAGCTTGTCAATGTTTGTTATTTGATATTGCACAATTAACGAGTAATCATTGCGCAATCGATGAGTAATCATTGTACAATCGCTGAGTAATCATTGTACAATTGCTGAGTAATCGTAGCAGAATATATTTATACACGCGTACATATGTACATATGAGTATACGTGTTGCATTTATACATACATCTGTATGTATAGGTATACCTGTATGTGTAGACATACATTGTATATGTTACGCTTATTGTGGGTATGTGTACATGCATATATACATATGTGCTGATATGCTTGCTCACTCTCACACCAATATTTTTCCTCGTATTCATTGTTTTCTGAGAGCAAAAGTAGTAGTACATTGTGGCCGAGGCCACATACAGGCAGACACACAGTTCATCGCAGTCGGGGGTGCATAACAAAAGAGCCGCGATGGAAGAGGTATACGTAGGAGTAGAAGAGATATGGGAAGACATATGAGCAGGGGCAGTCAGAAAGACACAGCAGTATCAGATACAAGTACAAGCAGGCGGGATAGGCAGGAATATACAAACAGAGGGCATGCGTGTAGTCCATGAGCGCGAGGCAAGAGCAAGAGGCAGCGCTGCATGAGGAGACAGGTTCACGCGAGACTACAGGGGCTCTAAGCGTGGGCAGACAAAGCAGGGCAGCTTACTCCTCCTTGTCCTTGTCTTGCTGCTTCCCCCTCGCCTTGAGCTCGTTTATGAACCATTTGCGGGCAAGGTAGTCTGCCTCTTCCTCAGTGACCTGCATATGATCCTGCAAGCCTGTAATCTCCGATAGCAGGTCATCCCTGCTCGCAGCAAGTCCCTCAGTCTCACGCGCAACCTCCTTTTGCACGCCCATGTAGCCCTTCATGCGCTCCTTGACACCGGCAACAACGTCGTCCACAGCCTCGCTATGCAGACGCCGCAGGATGTCAATGAAGTCGTTACGCATGGCCACATTGTTGTCGTTGGCCTTCTTGAGCGCAGCAAGAGCACGGTCGTGCGCCCTCTGCTCCGCCTGATAGCCAGCGAGACGTAGGACGACAAAGCGGTCATTTTTCCGCCACATGCGGTCCTTATCAAGGGACGCTGGCGCTGGCTCCGTGAGCTTGCCTTTGCCCTTGCCACCCTTCTTAGCACCGCTGCTGCGACTAGAACCCTCACCCCTATCCACAACAATGTTCTTCTTCGAGGGGCCTGCAGATGGGGGTGCGTCTTCAACAGCAGCAGGCTGAGCCTTACGCTGCACCGGCTGGCGGGGCGGCTTTACAGTCGGCTCTCCTGCGCCCTCAAAGGCAATCTCCACAGCGCGAGCTAAGTCGCCAGGCTTGCGGGGAGATGTGTTGGGTTCCTCCTTGATGCGCGTGGGACCGGAAGGGTTTGGCTCGTGCGTACCAAAACGGTCAAGTAAGCCAGGGCGAGCAGGGCGTGAAGAAGGAGAGGCGTGTGAGGAGGATGCTGCAGCATTTGGAACAGCACTAGGAGCTGCAGCGAGCTTGCGAGGACTGGCAAAGCGCAATGGAGAGCTCAAAGGACCACCTTCCTCCGTCTCTTGCTTGATAGTAAGGGCAGTCCCTATCTCCTGCTGCAAACGCGCCTCCGCACGCACCGCGTTCTGGATGTCCTTGACGTTGATCCTCACGTTCACGGCTTGGTACACAGCACGACCTTGATTGTCACGGCCGCCGCGGTTGAACAGGTGGTCGAAGACGTTATCCTTGATGCGGTCGGGATTGAGCACAGTAATGAACAGGGCACCGCCCTTGACATAGTCCCTGTTGCACTGGACATGTCCCCCTGCGGGATCAGGAGTGTCTCTGCACCGCCGGCAACACTGACCGTTTGCCTTTATGCAAGGCAAGTTGACTGTGGGATTCGCAGCTTGCAAGCCAGCGCAGCGCACGCAGGGGCCCAGATTTTCCTGCCCAAGCTTGACCTGTGTACATATGTGTAAATTAGAAATTCACAGCACATATATATGGAGCACTCACACTATCCATGCCTGCAAGCCAAGAGTACGTCATAGGCGAGGGCCGCTTGTGAGCCTTGCCATCTCCAAGCTGGAGCGCCTTATAGTATAAATCCACAAAGTTGATACCAGGCGGAACCTCGAGATACTCATAGCCAGCAGGGCGCAGGTCGTTCATGTTCTTGTACATGGGAGAGTGAAGGTAGCGCAGGTGACTGTTGCTGATCTCGCAGTTGTACAAATGCTCCCTGGATGAGCGCTTGGTGGTTGCGCTGTTCTGCTCCAACACGCGTATCAAGCAATTGATATAGTCCTCCTTGCTGGAGCGGTCGAGCTTGTCGAATGCGAAAACGTCTATGCCTGTTGGCTGCATACGAGGGCGCTTTGTGTCACCTGGCTGAGCAGCAACAGGGGACTCAGGGGAGGGAGAGAGTCTACGCTTTGGCACAGCAGGCGCCTTGCCCTTGCCTTTGTCCAGGTACTTTGCAGCAAGAGGCGTGTCTGATGAGGAGTCCTCCTCCATGTGTTGTGACAGGTGACCGCGCGGCTCATCGTCATCTTCATCAGAGAAATCGAGCATGATGATCTCTGCGCCGTCCGGTGGCGGTGTGTTCTGCCTGCGAGTGGGGCGAGCAGGAGTGGGCTGCGCTCGGAGAGCAGCCTGTGAGGACGAGATGTTCCAGGCATCGGGCGAGGACGGAGGAAGGAGGGAGGATGCCTGCACAACGGTGGCCTCCTCCTGTTCGCGCCTAAGCTGCGAATAGGTGTAGCCCCTCTCCTTATCCTGCTCCTCAATGGCAATAACCTCATACTGGACCGGGAGGTCGGGGAGAGGAACACGAGGATCTAGGCTGATGATGGGGGCGGGAGGCAGAACGGGGCAGTCACGGCGCAATTTCCTGAAATGGAATGTGGACTGCACCGCCTCGCTGTACTGATCCCAGTGTACGACTTTGCACCTGATGCGCGCCTTGAGGTCGTCCGGTATATACTCCGAGAGCGCAAGGTAGTCGTTATAGACAGGCTATAATACACATCCATGAGCACGCATATTGCACACATATGCACAACACTTACAACTGTGGTTTCCAGATGCACTGCGATGAACTCCTCCCACCACTTCTCATTCTTCACATCCATGTCTTTGCCCTCCACCTCACTGGTCTGCGACTCAAAACCCAGCAGCACGCCCATAGCGCCCTTCCACTCCTCATCAGGCTCGCCAGGGAAGAGGCCAGCAAACAGAAGCGTGGTTAAGGAAGTGGGCGTAGTATGAGCGGGGTCCTGCGCTGGTGAGCTGATATGCACTGGGGGTGATGATGCAATAGGGGCAGGTGAAGAAATAACGCCCTCTTGGGAGGGGGGCGAGAGAGCAGGGGCACGTGAGTGCACAGACGTGGCGCGCGAGGTGGACATGTGTGCTTGAAAATGAGGAGGAAATAGAAAAGATAAGATGAAAAAATGTTGAGGGGTGAAAGAAAATTGGGGGGGGGTAGCTCCTTATATACTGTTTCTAGCCAACGATGCAATCATTGTACAATGTCTTAGTCATCATTGTGTCGTTGATCAGTAACAAGGTTCATTGCACAATGGATTTGTAATATCTCAAATTATATTGTTGATGACAAATCATCTCTTATATAGCTATATGTATATTACCTGTATGGATATATACCATGTACATATCCAGGTAAACGTATACGTGCATATACACGTATACGCATACGTGTATATATACATATGTGCATGTATACATATGTAGTGTATGTACATATGCTTGCAGATACGTTTACTCACACATGCACCTGGTGTATGCTACACATAGCTATGTATTCACACTCGAGCCAGACATGAGAGGTAAACATCCTCTAGAGCAACTCTGCCCTTGGGGGCGGTTCTGCCCTTGGGGGCGGGTTCTGCCCTTGGGGGCGGGTTTGCCCTACAGGCCGGGTATGCATTCACACCCAAGCCAGACATGTTAGGTAGACATCCTCCAGAGCAACTCTGCTCTTGGGGGCGGTTCTGCCCTTGGGGGCGGTTCTGCCCTAGGGGGCGGATTTTGCTGTATAATATGCTTGCATGTACAAGTCCCATGTTTCTGCCAAAGCATATCTGCTCTGTTGCTCCCCCGTGAATCACTATTTTTAGCACAGCTTCATGTATGCGCATGTCCAAAAATGATATACAAAAATACAGGCCTACAAGTACAGCGATACGTCTCGTACACATGCATAACAACAAACGGCCAGCCCTTCATCCGCTGTCTGGCATCCTGCCCTGCTAAGCACGCACTTGTGAATAATCTCCTATTCGTCAGCGAGCATAAGCCTCTCCGCCTCGCATTGCTCTATGAGCTGCTCGAGATAGTCCTTGTACTGCTCAACCGAGCGGGTAGCAAAGGTGACCATATCGTCCGCCTTCTTCAGCGCCTTCTCGTTGAATGAGTTCGCCATGAATGCGTAATCCTCAGTGCGGCAGGCGGCGTCCGAGATATTGTTCTTCTTCTTAGCGATATCGCCCGCAGCCTGCACGAGACGGCCAACAAGAGGAGATGCAGTCTGACCATCAGACTCGCCCAGGACCTCAATCTCGTTCGCGAGGTCGGCGCAGAGGATGGCAGACTCCTCTTGTCCGCGAACTTCTGTATTGATATCATCCATGAAGTTGAGGACGCGGTCGTTGTTGTTGATTGCATTCTCGCAGGTCACCTTGAAGTCAAAAGCTGTCTGCAGCAGGAGGCGCGCCTGGTGTAGAGTGCGGCGTGTGCTAGCCAGCTCGACGCGCAGCGAAGGACTTGCATGCTGTATCGCGTCCTCAATGGCCTCCTGGTCGATATCAAGCGCTTCATCTACTTCGAAGGATGAGCCTGCCATTGCCTGCATGGCAACGTCGCCGTCACTGGCAGAATCGTTGTCCTCGCTGCTCTCCATCATCGACTGCGCCTGCGATATGAATGAGTCGCCATTCCCAACACATTCGCCTATACATATACTCACGCTATCAGACTCTGACCCAAGGTCTTCATGAGCGCCCTCCAATTCACCCTGCGCCACATCCACATGCTCGTCCGCGCCTATGCCATGCTGAGGCTCGCCTGTGCCAACTGAGACATCCTGTAATTGTTCCCACTCCGCCATGGTATGGAAGACACTGTAGTTCTCCACAACAGGTAGACCACCGCGATAATCCTGCCTGATAGTAGGATAGACGATGAACTGCTCGCGAATAGAGGCCACTTCAAGAAGGCGATGCGCCGCAAGTGCAGCATCGAAGAAAAGGTCAACTGCGTTGATGGCTGCCTGCAGGTAGGCACGCTGCGCCTCACTAATGGCGGGATTTTCGAGGACCTTTCCGCGGTATTGCTCCTATATTATGTAGGAGTCAATGGTTTGACTGCCCTAGAGAGCAGGTTATACATACAACTGTAGAGGCGAGCACCTCCTTTGACAGCTGCCAGCTCTCTGCTGAACGGCTGAAAGCGTTCTTGCCCTCAAAGCGCCCGAGAATGCGCAGGAGAGCATTGATGTTGTTGCCGTTTGCAGTGCGCGATGTAAAGTCCTCCGTGCCCTGAGTGACCGCAAGTGCAGAGTCACGTATGATCGCCTGCGCCGCTGCGTGAGTGAGAGAGAACATTGTAGACGCGTAGGTAGGTTAAAAAAAAGCTGGGTTTAGAGTTTTGGGGTGAGGAAGGTTGAAAAAAATTGGTGGGGGGTGGTTTCTTTTATACTGTTTCAAATCAATTGCACAATGACGATACAATAACGATACAATAACGACACAATGACGATACAATGGGAAAATGTTACCATTTTGGTCAATACACCTAGGCCTGTATTGTCATGTATACATGCGCGCCTGTACATGTACGTCTGTACGTACAGGCCTGTATGTATGTATACACGCCTATATACATGCATCCATACGTACGGGCCTATGTACATGCCTCTGTACATGCCCACTTTTGTATCTGCAGCTTATACACATTCATATGTAATACAGTCATGAGACGTACAGATCTATACATATACATATTACAGCTGACCCGTGACACGCTTATACATCCATATGAAAACCTCAAGATAGTTGATGAACCGCCTCGTTTCCTTCTTCGTAATAATCCAGCGCAACCTCGCCTGTCTGCCCTCCATGTCCTGCCATCCATTCAGTGGCTTTACGTCTGTAAACGCACTGCGGAACTCCCTTTCAAACTCTGGCGTTGTGTTAAACACTGCGAAGAAGACGACAATCTTGACAGTGAAGCTGCCCTTGCACGTCTTCTTTGGATCCGATAGAGGTGGATGCGGCATTGCAGGGACTGCAGGTAACCAGCAGAGATAGTGCAATGGAGGCTCATTGAACTCTGGTATGTCGAATTTGAAGATCTCTGCAGACCAGTAGCGATAGGCATCGCCATAAGACCACACGTGGGGGCAGAGACCTATGCGTGAATGCTCAAGGCAGTCCCGCCGATTGGGACTTTGGATCAGGCACAAGGGACACAGGCCGCGGAAGAACTGCCAAGCCGCGCGGAGATCTATGAAGCTGTCCTGCATGTTGTTGATACGCCAAATTCTTTGATCTGTGGCGACCTTCTGCATATCTGCAAATCCAGAGGGGCCAGGGCGTGCTGCACGTGCAGGAGCACTTGGGGCAGTTACCAATGTTCCTTCGACTCGGTGTAGGCTGCGATGCGCTGCAGGCAGAGGTGGAGGTGCGTCAGACTGTGATCTCTTTTGCCCAACTAATGCAGGTGTTTGGATTGGCCGTGCAGGGGGCGCATTTGCAGGGGCGACCAGACGGCGACTGGAGTGTACGTTGCAGCTGCCATTGCAGCGCGAGCACAAGACGTTGTGTGGATCGTCCATACATTTTGAGGCATTCTCGCCGCCATCCATATACCCAAACAGTCCCTTGCGGAGGCATGCAGTCTTGTTGACAAAGACGAGTGATGTGAGTGCGGATTTGCCTTTGATGTCGACACCGCCACCTGTGTAGGGGTGATTATCGTTGGCGAACGGAATCATAAACGCCCAGCCAGTTTTGCCGTCCCGTCCTGCTCGAGCGCATTCCTGCAACTGCTGCGTAGCTCCATCGGCCAAGCCCACACTGAAGACTGCACGAATGCCAGGATAGTGGTACCCTTGTGCCAAACCAACAGTGGCGATAAGAAACGGCGTGGCGGTTTCCCCTCGTTCCCAACGCCCAAGCATCTCTGCGCGCTGCTTGTCGTTCAAAGGTCGCTTCTTTGCTACCTTTCGCCCATAGTAAAAGTCGACCGTCTGCCTGTATCTCTTGGCAAAGATGTCAACAAGCTCTATACCGGCGTCTCCTGTTTGCACGAAGATGAGGGCACGATCGGCGTTGGCATCGAATACATCCTCCTCTGTAACGAAGCGCCACCAAGTCTTGATAAGCGCGGCGCAGTCCGTCATGTTCGACTTTTGAGGGAGCAGCATAAGAGACAGCTCGGGGCGGTTGGTGGGTGTCCGAATAACTGTGGTGCCTGCGCCAGGGCGTAGCAGCAGTGCCTGCCGCACTGACGGTTCTGCCTCTGGGGGCACGGTGCCAGTGTACGAGACCACCTGCACATTCGGAGCAACACGCCGAAGCTCGCCTATGACCTTCATAACGTCTCCACGATACATCTCACTTGCGGCAAGATGACCTTCGTCTAGAGCGATGCGTATCCGCGCATAGTGGTACTGGTGGTAGCCGTGACTTAAGGTTGCCATAAAGCTTGACATAGCTGCTCGGTTGTACGTTGTGAGCAGCAGGCGGTCCTGGCGCTGCAGCTGTAATCCTGGACTCCACAGCGCATACTCCACACCTGCATCATCGAATGCCGCCTGAGTGGAAATGTAGATGGCGTTTAAAGGCACAGCAACCACAGTAAGCGAGTCGCGCTCAACGTAGGCTGCAATCGCAGGTATGAGTGTCTTGCCACTGCCAGTTGCCAGGATGTAGAGCCCATCCGTTTTGTACTCCAAGCAGTTGATGACCGCGCCTTCCTGACCAAGTGACCTCCATACAATGTCCTGCAAGAGTGCAGAGCCCTTTGACAAGAACTGGCGAAGCTGAGCAAGTGCAAGCTCCTTCAACTGCGTGGTCGAAACTGTTCTCATATCGTATGAGAAGATCTTGTTTTCTTAAGATTAGAGGCATACCTTCACCGTCAAGTGCATCATCAGGATGCAATACCCATGTGTGCTCCTCTTCATTCTCATTCTCCTCAGGGTCAGGTGAAGTAGTGTGCGTCTCAGGCGCAGAACTCGATGGCGGTGGAGCAGGTGAGGTCGGATATGCTTCACCACCGATAAACGGATTGGGGGCATACAGATCCTCTATTGGGAAGCAACTCAGTATGCTTCAAAGATGCATGCAATTGTCTTACCCATATCATCAACAGGCGGGGAAGATGTACGCCCAGGCGAAGTGTGTTCTGTCGCAGGTGTGCTGAGAGGTACGTGTGACCGTGGAGGCGGAACCGGCGACTGGATAATGGGTGTAGACGCAGCGGGAGGCGGAGTGTGTACTTGGGCAGCTTGCAATGGAGCCGCAGATGTAACTGGTCCACCAGCGAAATACTGGCGTAGCAAGTGCTCCACTGCACTGACAGTCTCTACACGCGCTTTGTCCATCAACTCCTGTGTCTTCTCCTCCATCTTGCGCATGCTGCTAGCGAGTGTCTCCTCGACCGCCTCCGTTACTGCAGCTTTGACAAGGCGCTTGATGTCAAAGTCGAAGCGGGCAAAAAGCTTGTCCGCAATGGCACTTATAGCTGCATCGGAAAGGCCCTCAGGATTGTTTTCAGGCGGCAGCCAAGACATGTCAAAGTTGATATAGCGGCTTTGCTCTAGCGAACCGCGGCGATTGCCTATATAGTTGAGCATGTGTGAGTGATTACGCTGATTTGAAGTGTTTTTTCAATGCGCACCTGGCACAAGCCGCAGATCCAATTGCCAGTCATACGTCTTCGCGATGTACAGCGGTGTAATGTCCTCCTCAGCTCCCTCCCAAATATCCATGCTTGTTGCGTAGATGAGATCCGCTGTGCGAGAATGACCTGACATAGCGGATTCAAGGGTTTGCCCAGTACTGTGGATGGCAAACAAAGAGGGGTTGCGTTTGCGCTTGAAGGCAATGATGATATGGCGCATGTCGTTGACTCCCCATCTCTCACCAAACACACGCTCAGTGAGATTGCCCATGGCATGTGAGAGGTTATCCGTTGTAAATCGCTTGCCAAGGTTGACAAAGAGCGAGGTGCGGTAGACATTTTGTGCTGCCACGTCCTGTGGGAAGTAGAGATCGGCAAGGTACACCGCAAACTCTCGCAGCATGCCTTGATCTTGTATGAAGCACTCAGAGGTGAATGCGTCCAACGCCTCGGGAATAGTGAAGTCCTTGCCGGTGCGGTTCTGCATCTTGTTGTAGCGACGGCGGAGGACGAATTGGTCATCGAGGAAGTAGACGTTGCGCTGCGTAGTCTCGAGATTGTTGAGCGCCATGGCAGTAATCTCTGTCCCTCGTGCTGGCCCCGCAGTGTTGAGCTCCACAGCAATCATGAGCTGCTCGTGAAATTCGGCGTAGGTGCGCAACCACTTTGCAATATTGTCCATCTTCCACCATGGATCGTCCGTACCGGGCAAGTTCTCCACGAAGAACTTTCGCAGCTCAGGGTACTCTGCAAAGTAGCTGATGAAGAGGTCGGGATCACGGAAGTGCTTCCGATTGCGAGCGTCCTGCGTCCAGTTGAAGCCGGGGTCCTTATTCCGTGCATCGTCAAACAGCTGCCCCGTGTATCGGAAGTACACGCCAGTGTTCCGCGTCAACTCCGCCCAGAGCTCCATGAGCTTCTCTTGATTGAGGCGAACAAGGAGGCGGAACTGCTCAAATGTAACGGGCGTGCCATCGTACGTCATCCGTTCGCCAATCGAATTCCAAAACAGGCGTGACATCGGCGCTGTTGAGGCAGCCAAGGACGAGGCATAGTGCATGAGACGGCGAACAGATCTGAAGCTGCACACTTCGTCCTCCGTAAACCAGCGTTGTAGGGCGTAGACTTGCTCTAGCAGAGCTTGATGGCGATTGCGTGTCAATGGAGCATCTGGCTGGCCTCTAGCAGTGTTGCTCATGCGCTCAGCGAACTCAACAGCGTCTGCCCGGTTGTGTGCTTCAAGCAAGAAGATGAGGCGCTAAACATATAATCAATCAGTAACAATTACTAGGTTGCATGTGAGTTTACATACCATGCAGGACTGAAAGCGAGCATATGTCCCGGTTGTATGCGCGCCATCAGCAAACGAACCAGTCGAAGACAGCGATAGAAGTGCAGCGACCTGCATCGTAGGGTCGGGCTCGATGTTGTCCTCAGTCGGATACCACTCGTGCGTCCATAGGGCAACCACGATCTTGTGAATGAGGGTGCCATAGTCAGCAGCCTTGTGATCCTTCGTCTGCCTATAGAGTGTCTCCAACTGCTGTACGAGAGTATGGATATGCTCCGGGAGCTGCAAAGTGAACCCATCGTACTTCTCCTTGTTGGGCGTCTTGTCTGCAGGCAGGTTGGTATTCTCGAGCAGGCGGAGCAGGAACAGGATGAGGCGATAGACCACAAGCGAGTATGAGGCGAGGGTCTCGTTGTTTTGAAAGGGACTCAGTGGCATGTGGTTTGGTGCACTGCAATACACGTTAGCTGAGGAGGAAGAAAGAGCACATATCAAGATACATTACCTGGCAGCCTCAGCAGTATTCAAGCAGCATAGTGCCTTCTCATGCGTGCCCTGAATCTTCTTCGTTGCCTTTGTGAGCAGCTGCAACACGTGTTCCTTGAGTTGGCTGTAGTTCTCCCAGTCCTCCTTGGCGCGCTTCGAGGACTCGTCTGGTAGCGCGATTGTCTGCATGACCTCCAGTGAATCATAACCATCAAACAGCAGGTGCCACTTGGTGAAGAGCAGCCAGGGTTCGATCAGGCGAAGGTCGAGATCCTTGGCGGGAAGTGTAACTTTACGCTTCCTGCTGTTGGCAGCATCCTTCATGAGGCGGACAAGGTTGACGTCTGAGGGTATACGTGTGCGGCGATGAACGGCGAACCACGGCGTGTGACCTGGGCCAGTGCGGATGAAACGTTGCAGTGCCGAATGCGTGAGTTTCTTCTTGTTGAAGCGCTTGTTCTTGTGGTACTGATTGTAGTGCGTCTTCATCGCGCCCTCGTTCACTGCACCTTGCCCACAGTTCTCTTCAGGGCATACACAGCCCCATTCGCATGTCTCGAAGCCTGCAAACTCCTTCGGAACATCGACAGGAGAGGGCGGAATTGGAGGATCTTCGTTGATCTCGAGCTTCGCACATATAGCTTTGAGCAGCTTCTCCGAGGCGTAGTGCTTGTGTGATTTGTGTGACTTGATGTGGGAGTGCAGCATTGTGGGAGGGACTATGCGTTGGTCCTTGAGGCATATCAGTCGGTCGAGGCGGACCTGCTTGGCAATGCCATAACGCTCGAGGATAGGGTGGAACATGAACTAAATGCACCATCAGTGGTGTGATCGTATATACGTGAACATGCATTACTAACCTCGCCCCTTATAGTGCACTGCGAATTGACCATTTCCTCGAATGTTTGTGGCACAGATTTGCCTGCCGCGTCTGGAGGCACTTGAGCTGCATCATCTTCTCCTTGCTGGTTGTCTACAGGGGGTGGAGCGCTGCGCTCAGGGATCGGTGGCTCACGCTATTCATGTATGTTCAATATAGGCTACTGCTTTTACATGGCAGTTGGGACTCACTGGTACTTGACCGGATGCGCGGCGAGTATTCTTCTTTTTCGACTGGGGCGGTGGCGGCGGCGGTAGTGGTGGTGATGGCGGTGGTGTCACATGTGTCTCCTGTTGTGTGTTCATCATGAGTTCTAGTCGCACATTGGAAGCAACATACCTCTTCATGATCGCTTGCCTGAGGACTGGGCTGGTGGCGTATAGAAGATCTCCTCTTTCTCCGCTGCCTGGGAGGTGGTGAATCAACTTCCATAGACTGCCCACATGTAAGTGTAGGCACTGCACAATATTGTTTATGCCCATACCTTGTCGCTATTGGTGTGAGGATCGTCATCGCGCACAGACCGCATAGAAACATCTGAGGTGCGGGCTTTACGGCGCTCCTTCCTCCTCTGTTTCTTCGAGGGCGTTGTCTGAGGCGATGCAATGTCCTCGTCCGACTGTATATGTATATGTTATTATGCACCCACTCACAAACATTTAGCAGTGCTTACATCGTTCGCTGTACGTGCCTCTAGGTCGATACCTGCCTTGAAATCCTCGTAGTTGCCATAGTAGCCCTTGAGCGACCAGTTGCGCCGCTTTACACAGATATTAATAGGGTGCAGTCGTGGGAGCAGGAAAAAAACATGCCTTGAAGCCCTTCACACCCTGATAGTTGCACGTTTTCACATGCTGCCTGAGACGCTGAATCTTGTTGAACCTCTTCTTGCAGGGATGCCCGCCTTCTTCACCAAAGCACTGGAAGTACGGCGCAGGGTCGGCGGCATTGGTGGGGTGTCTAATGAGTGCGAGCCAAACCGAACTCTGCTCCGTGCCTTCATTGCTCTCGTCCTCCCACTGAATGAGCAGGTTACCAGGGCAATACTCTGTATGCCCCTTCTTAACCACCTGCTCATTGCACTTGGGGCATGTAAACTCGCCGGGCATGATCGTGGGTGTACACAGCGTAGGACGGGTGGGGCACGTGAGAGGCGTGGGAATTGAGAAAAAAAATGAGGGTTGTGGGAAAGGGGTAGAGGAAAATGGAGAAAATATTCAGCACAGTCCCTCTTTTATAGTAAATGAAGGTTCTCACGATAACAACATCATTTGCAAACAGTTGGTCACATTTTCCAATATATATAGCTATTTGACTTTCATCCGCGTAATGTATGCCAACATGTCTCGATAAGTACCTATACACATACCTGGAGACATATTCGGAGGTCCGCGTTTATACGTGTTGTGTATAGATAGCATGCATGTACTCAGTCATACATATATATTAATACAGGCGCATATACATACGCCTATGTATGCGTCTACACTCAGGAGAGCAGACATATATAGGGGCGGATACGCCAAGAGTGGGCTGGCAAATCCGCGCCCGAGTGCAGGTGTATACACCCCCGAGCACAGGCGTATGCGCCCCTGAGGGCATGCGAACCCGCCCCCGAGTGCATGTGAACCCGCCCCTAAGTGCATGCGAACCCGCCCCCGAGTGCAGGCATATGCGCCCCTGAGTGCAAAGTTGCCTTGCAACCCAGGGCAGATGCGAGAAAAAAGTGCATATAGAGGCGGAAACTCTGCACATATATAGCTCAGTCCTTAAAATATATAATGTGACACATATCACTCGTTTTAACCAATTGAAAGTGCGAGTCTGAAGATATATGATATAATACTGTCTTATAGTGAAGGATTGATCACCTGGTCCTAGACATCCATTTCATACTCTCTCTCACATCTTGTGTATAGTCTCATATAACGAACTCCATGGTATAATGTCTAGCATAATACACTCCATTATCACTCCGGACTACCTTGCATGAAAGTGCGACTATACAAGGTGAGTGGAATTATATTGCAGGGGGATATTGATACACTTACAGAATGGAATGATCAGACATTTGGAAAAGGTGAATGCTAGACTGCTCTGTTAACTAATACTGAAGTTTGGTCTGAGAAATAGATGAACAACACGTGATGAATATGATTACCTTGAGATAGTCAAGGTTGTGCGAAAGTGTTGACGGAATTACTGGCAGATCATTTGAACCCACATATAAGGAGCAAGTGATGGCATATCATATAAGGCCAAGTAGATAAAGACCCGTTATAAAGAGTGTTGAAATCGAGGATGGTCCAGGGGAACAAACAGGTGAGAATCCCTCACTACAGCTCAGTCAAATAGATCTTCCCAACATACAGCTAAGATTTGAATATCTGAACACACGATTTTCCGGCTACATTTACTAGTGATTGTCCCAGCTGAAGACCCGTTATAAAGAGTGTTGAAATCGAGGATGGTCCAGGGGAACAAACAGG